ATGTCCATCCTACTGTCTGTTTGATTATTTTTTAAACTTAATAATGCAGAGCTTGAGTCTGAACATATTATTGTTTTTAATGGTTTTATATCTTCTACCCATTGTAAAGCCAATAATATTGCCAACATTTCTCCTGTGTTACTGATAATCCATCTGTAATTCGTTTTCCTATTTTTATATTGAATTCTGGTAATACAAACTCTATTCCTATTTTCCCAGTTATTTTTGACGCATCAGTATAAATTTGAATGTATTGATAATTATTTAAATATAATTGCACTGAATAACTATCTACAATGTATGATTTATCTTGTTTCTTTTCCATTATTGACATATCTACTTTTGCTTCTGGTAGAACCCAGGGTGGTATAATTGATATTGGTGTTTGACTAATTTCTAAATTATTCATTTCAAAATTTTGTATTTTATTTTCAATTGTCCATCCAAAACTCCTCATTTCTTTCTTTTCTTTTTCCCAACATGGATTTAAAATTTCCAGAGTTGGATGATCAACGTTACTGCCTTGCAAATTTAACCAATAATTCATTTCTAATTTTGTTCTTCTTAAATCTAATGGCATTTCTCCCATTTCTATTTCTAAGGCTGCTGTTGGTGTGGTTTTAAATGCTCCAGTACATAATCTTAGTGCCTGATGTTTGATAATGTCTAATTTAACCAGATGTGTTTTAGCTGCTGAACCATAAACCAAAGTCTATGTTGGATCTCATCATTCCTGTGTAAATCTGTTTTAGTGATTGTCTATCTGCTCCCCAGTCACTGCCAGCCAAACATCTCAAAATATTCAATATTTTCTTACATTTATCAACAACTTTTTGAATATGTATATGCCATTTTAATTTTTCATCAAACCATAGCCCTAAAAATTTTATACCCTTTACCTGCTCTAACTCTTGATTATATAATTTCAATTTTATTTCCTTGTTCATTTTTTTCTGAGTAAATATCATTACTTTCGTTTTATCAACAGAACTTAAATCCCCATTGCAACGCCCATTTCTCTATTCCAATAATAACCTCTTGTAATTTTTAACAATAAAATCAACGTTTTTCCCTCTTTTCCAAACAGCTCCATCATCTGCGAAAAGTGAACAACCCATGTCTTTTCCAATATCTTTAAATACATCATTTATCATAATTGAAAACAATAATGGACTTATAATACTCCCCTGTGGAGTTCCATTTTCTACTACATATTTTCCTGAGATAATTTCTCCTATTCTAACTTGTATTTTCCTGTTTGTTAAAAAGTCTTTAATCCATTTAAATATTCTCCCTTTAATACCCAACTTGTTTAATTTAATTAGTAATCCATCCACCCACATCATGTCATCTGCCTTTTCTATGTCAAAGAATACTGCCACTACACTTTCTTTATTGACTTGAGCTCTTCTAATGTCATGCTCTAAACAGCGTTGGGTCATTAGTACTTGCATAATAAACCTATTTATACCGTGAAATACCCACATCCCAACTGAAATTAATTAACTAATTAAGTGAATTCCTAATCAAAGAACTTATTCTAAATAACAAATTAAACAAAAATTCTAATAATAAATCAACTAGAAAATAAACAAAAAATAAGAATAAACTAAACCATTTAAATTCTAATATTTAACTGAAAATGGAGAAATAGCTCCTACAAATGTACGGTCTAATGTGTAGGTAAACTCAATTTTGTATTTTTTTCTGCTATTTAAAATAAATATTCTTCACGTTGATACTCTGTCATTCATTCATTATCATGATTTAGTTTCGGATTAGTGATGCGCTGAGGTGGAAGCGCAGCCAACCTGAATAACTGTTTTAAAGGGGATCACATGAAATCTGCCTTATTCTGACAGCAAATGGTTTTAGAAGTTCGCCAACAGACCAGATTAAATGTTTTTATTTTTAGTTTAAATCAACATAAAAACAACAGGAGATTAAGAAAAATTGAAATGATGTATTTATTATTTATCACATATTATCAAACAACTAGAGGACAAAAAAAAGTTGTATAAATAGGTTTCGTAAGATTTGCGTAAAGTTGAATTAAACACCATAATGCGTGGTATTTCCGGTTTAGTTATCTCCAAAGTAAACGTTTATTCAATTAAGATTGTTTCGCGTCAATAATCATTTAATTGACCGTCCATCACAGTATAAAGTTAATAGATATTAAGTTTACATTTATCTGCAAATAGTTTAAGATTATAGTAGATGAATAGATTTGTCTTTCCCATAGGAAGAGCTAATAATGCCAATTAAATACAAATCATTCATGGGGTTTTGTTTCTTTTTTTTAAACCATCCATATAAAAGTAAATACTCCTTAAATTAATTAATTATGATTTGATGGGAGTTCCATTGTAGAATCTGGACTCAAACAAAAACTTCTAAAGTTAGCTTCGATGTAGGACAGGTACTAACTAGCACACGACAAACATATTTAAAATTTATGAAATGAACTTGAACACAAACTGTTCACAGAATTTGGTATTTTGAATGTAGCTATAAAAATAATTTATAACAGTGCAATTCTTTTTGTAAATTGTACGATAAGACTGATTAGTAAATGTGTTATCCCTAGAAAGAAATTCATTGTAACTTACACAATCAATTTTTTCCAGAGTTGTGGATGTTGATGACTGTGACTGACGGAAGACTCTTTTGTAGCATAAAAATCACATGAAGAAGAAACATAGCAAGAAATAACTGCAAGAGCTAAAGTTTTTATTCATTAAAAATCTTTTTTTTTTCTTCTTTTTTTCAGGCCTTCATCATTCTGGGCCAAAGTCCTTTCATGACTTTAGCCCAGAGCCACATGTGGTTCCATACAGTCAATCCTAACAAGTTCCACTGACTTTAACTGGTTTTATTTTGACAAACAACCGAGTCCGTCCATCATGTCAACCAGATCAAGTCGCGCTGCCCTCTTTTATTTTGAAGAACCCGCCCGGAAGCGCTCAGTTTGTGTCTCGGCTGCAGCTTGCTGGTTCCTCCATAGAGAACTGCGAAGATGGCGGCGCTTCGGGTCGTGGCGCTCTCCGGGAGTGGGAGAGCTCTCCTCATTACGGGGAATCCTCTCAAGACTTCCAAGGTAGATCGATACATGGGCCTAATATTAACCTTTCTGAAGGTCGGATGTTTTTAAGAGTGTTTTCATTATAAAGTTGTGTTTGTCAGTCGTCCTCCCAGCGACCCATCATTAGCTCACCGGCTAGCGGCGGAGTGGCAGACAAGGTCACTTGTCTTCCCTCGGATTTCAGGCTGCCTTATTGGGCTGTCTCTTTTTATTTGTGGTGTTTAGTCAGTCAGAAGTTAAAATAATGGGGGCTGTGTTCGTAGTTTTTTGTCTAAATACCGCAGAGCAGCTGTTCCTACCGTTAGTCAAGGCAGCCAGAGTCGTGTCGGACTGTTAGCACATGCAGGTCTGGACTGGAACAGATTCTTCCTAAAAACAGAAGCATAAATCCATCAGGAGGCAAATCTTCTGCTCCGTGAAGAAGCAGAAGCTGCCGGTGTGTTTGTTTCAGTTCAGATAAAGGCCACTATATGCAGCTGGAGCTTAAAAACAGCGGCTTTAAGGTGTTAGAGCTAACGAGTTAGCATTGGGAAGGCTGATGAGAACTTCCGGTGGAGAAAAAGCCGGTTCCTGCGGGATTATTATTGTTAGATCTGAATGTTACTGAGCTTTATATCTATGTGTCTCTTAACTCTATCAACCAAAGTAGTTTATTTAATTTTCTTTTGTTTGTAAAAATGTATTATTTTGATATGAGAGTTAATGTTATGAGCCGTAAAGATCCATCCTGGTCATATAAATCATCTTCGAAACGGGATTAACGTTTTTGTGGAGGTGAGGCTGGTTGTTGCGGTAAGGGTCAGAGGTCATGTGCTCTCTTCCTGTCCGGTTATAAAAACACTGAAGGTCAGTTTCATAATGACCCCAGACGGAAGCTGGACCTGGCAGATTGACTTACATCAGAGGTGCAACTTTACAGTGAAACAATCTTTATTTATCCTCCTCCGGCCGAATAAAACCTGTTCAGAGACACAACTGCAGAACCACCATCACTGCTTTTATGTTTTACAGTGAAGAAGAATATAAAACTTAACAACAAAAAACAAAGTGGCCTGATAAGAAAAATAAATACAAAATATTGCTGGTCCTTCTAGGATATTTTGCAGTGGAAATTGAATGTAATTGTTCCGTAATAAACTGAAAAACGGCTAAAATGTGAATGTATTCTGTCTGTATTTAAAATCTCTTCAGTCTGAAGCTGCATTATTATGGCAGCTTGTTGCGACAAATATCACTTTTAGTCACTTTGAAAGATAAACATGTTTAATTCTCATTGAGTTCAGATCAAGTTTCAATTCTAACTTTTCTCCCAAAAGTTTCAATATCATCATTTAAACAGAAGAAAGTCTATCATAACTCGAAAATAATAAAGTTTATTACGGCTGTTGGTAAAAAGTTTCATTGGCTGATATTTTAATCATTTTAATCATTTCTACTGTGATTATAATTATAGGACAACAAATTAGGTCGTAGTTTTCCTCGTTTCTGAAAATAAAACGCGTGTGTGTGTGTGTGTGTGTGTGTGAATGAATCTGTTATTTTTCTCTCTTCAGGCCAACATGTCTTTCGCCAGTCTGTCGGGTAAGAAGAAGGTTGCCTTGACGACGCTGGGCGTGGTTGCCGGCGGCGGCGCGGGGCTCGCTCTGATGCTCCACCAATCGGTGAAGGCGTCTGAGCTGGAGCTCCACCCCCCATCGTACCCCTGGAGCCACGCTGGGCCGCTGTCCTCCCTGGACCACGCCAGGCGAGTCAGCAACCGACTGATTGGTCGATTGATCGTTATCCGTATAAAACCATCAGTCGGAGCAGAAATTAAACCAAAACTGAACAGAATATAAACATTTTGCATTTAAGATAAAAAAACCTTTTGTGTAAATCTGGTTCACAGGAAACTCCTGTAGCGTTGGTTTTAAATCTCCTTTGCTTTTTTAAATATTAAACTCTTTATCTAAAAACAGTCAGCAAATGTTTGTAATATTGTATAAAAATGCCTAAGTGAAAAATCAGCAGAATGGGCCTTTATTTATCGGATTAATATCCAGAATAATCAATAGATTAATTGATAACTAAAATAATCAGACGTTATATTTGTTGCCTCTGTCATTAAAAAATACCAAGATGCACCAATCTGATATTAATATCTGATATTGATAAAATATTGTAGATCAGATATCAGCGTTAATATTCCTGATCTACAAGTGCAAATCTATTCAATCTAGTTCTATGCTTTATTTATTTTACATATTTATTATTGATAATTGCACTTTCTGAACCATTTGAAGGTTTGTTGGTTTATTTTTATGTTTGTTGGAGCCTACTAAGAATTAGATGAATAGATTTTTTGCTAAGCTCTTAATGTTACAGACCCAAGCTGATGCTAATGCTAATGGTGGACCTGCTGTCAGTCAGCCTCCTGCTGTGGTTGAGCTGATTGTTTGGTGAAAGAGTGAAACAGTTTTTCTACCACAAAATTAACATTTATACTTCAATTTTTTGTATGAAGTCAACTCGGACAAGATTTCTTTTGTTTTTATAAGTAAAGAAAATAGTCTTTTGAAACCAGAAAACTAAAGCGAGTGCTTTTTATTTTGAGTGAGTCGAAAGAGCAGCAACAACGTTTGACCAGGAAAGAGCCTGCTGCTTCTGCTCTCATCCTGAGTGTTTCTGATTGGCTGCAGCATTCGCCGTGGTTACCAGGTGTATAAGCAGGTGTGCTCAGCCTGCCACAGCATGGAGTACCTGGCCTTCAGGAACCTGGTGGGCGTGTCGCACACCGAGGACGAGGTCAAGACCATCGCCGAAGAGGTGAGGCCGCAGCAGCAGCCGGCTCCTCCCGCCACCAGGGGGCAGCGCCGGCTGATGTAGCTCCATTTGCTGTGCAGGTGGAGGTGGTGGACGGCCCTGATGAGAGCGGCGAGATGTTCACCAGGCCAGGAAAGCTTTCGGACTATTTCCCCAAGCCGTACCCGAACCCTGAGGCCGCCCGGGCCGCCAACAACGGGGCGCTGCCCCCCGACCTCAGCTACATCGTCAACGCCAGGTACTTCCTCCAGCGCTGCTAATTCAGGAATCGATTAACTGGACGATTCACACTAAAAACGGCCATCAGCTGAAACTTTCAGGAATGAAGCCAAAACTACAAAATAGAAACATATTTAGCATAATTACAGCTCCAGTCTGTCGATCTGCTCCACCTGATCTCCTCTGGTTCGCTTTTAGCTTCACTTGGTTCCATTTCTGTAAAATCTTCTCCCATTAATCACCTTCTGTATCCAGTCATCAACCAGATAATCAATCACGATCAGCTCTGCTGTGTTGATGTTCAGTCCAGCTGAAAGGCCTCATGTTGGCAATAAAATGTTTGTTTTTAAAAAAGGAATCAATTTTTTGAAGTTTTTTGGACATTTTAGTCCTGCATTCATTTTTATTTTTTAACAGTGGGGTTTATTTTGCGGTCTCTCAGGCTCCTGAAATGATGTCACTGTTGTAGACGCAGCAGAGCCTCGTTGTTCAGATGTTCACACATGAAGCAACACTAAACTGTTAATGATATAATGATAAATACAGAAGAATTAAAGACATGAGAAATGATCTGTTAAATCTGATTGTAATTAACGCTCCGTTTTTTAATCAAGCTGATTCATTCACAGCATCCCTGTTATTAATCAGATTAACCATTTAATTGGTTGCAGTAATTTTTCTAATATTGTATAAAATTAGCTTAAGTGATGAAATGAAGAATCTGCAGAAAGTGCCAATATTTTTTAATCTGATTAATCATCAAAATAATTGATTGCTAAGCTAATGGCTAGCTGCAGCGCTGATGGACATGCCGGCTGTTTGTGCGGCGCCCCCTACAGGCACGGTGGAGAGGACTACATCTTCAGCCTGCTGACGGGTTACTGCGAGCCGCCTGCCGGCGTCTCGGTGAGAGAAGGGCTCTACTACAACCCCTACTTCCCCGGCCAGGCCATCGGCATGGCGCCGCCCATCTACAACGAGATCCTGGAGTACGAAGACGGTAGGTGGCGCCCGATTGGCCGCCGTGCCGCAGGAGGCTGCATCTGATTGGCTGTGTCTGGTTGCAGGAACCCCGGCCACCATGAGCCAGGTGGCCAAAGATGTTTGCACCTTCCTGAGGTGGGCGGCTGAGCCGGAGCACGACCAGCGCAAACGCATGGGCCTGAAGGTAGGCAGGGGGCGGGGCTTAGGGCGGGGCTTCAGCCTCATTGTGGCTTATAATAATCTCAGGTAGATTATCTGATATTCCACCTGGATCAACACCACAAACATTTTGCTAACATTAGAAACAGAACCTTGCTAAATACTTTAAAAGACAAAATTAAATCTGAGTTTGAGCAATTTCAAAGATTATTTAAAAATAAATAATCTTCACTTAGAGTATAAATTCTCCAATTTAATCAATTTAGTGTTATCTTTTTAAGGTTCTTTTTTAATTAGGAGTTAATGTATTTACAGAAAGCAACATGTCCAGTGAAATAACTGCAGCTGTTTGTTAGTTTGGGGCAGCGGTGATGCAAAAGCAATCGTATCCATAGCAACAGAGACCGGTCTGATACAAGTCCACCTCGCTGCAGCAAACAGGAAGGGCCAGGACGGACCACTGTCAGTCTCAGACCTTATTTGGAAATGGGACCATTGCACTCTGGAAGTGAAGGGGGCGCTATTTCCTATATTATTCGTGGTCTCCCATCTTTATTTTCTTTTAAAATTGATATCTTCACCTTTAGGAAGGAGTTTCTGCCTCAGCATGTATTTAAACTTCTCTTTTCCAGTATCTTGGCTGTGCCTAGAACTGCACATTTCTGGACTGAGATGTCTGATGTTGTTCCTGGGATCTGTT